CAGCTGCTTCTTGAAACAAGTGCCAATATTGAGGTTACATAAAATAAAACATATACTTGTACTCTCCACTGCCACAAGCAACAAAAAGCAACACAATAACAACAATAATAACCATAGAAAAATAAATAACCTCTACTGTGTTTGTGGGGGCTGGCGAACGGGAGGGTGTTGGTGGCAGCTGAGAGGTGAGAGGTAAGGGCGCTTCCAAGTAAAAGTGGCACACTTTAGAAACGAAGGCCGCCTCTGCTCGCTCACTAAACAGTTCTGTCTAATTACGCTAAGCAAACAAATAAACAAATCCAATCCGCATTTCAACAAAAATGCTTTGCAATCGTTTCCAAACTCAAATGCATAATGAATGAGCGGCGAAGGCGCGATTTCTGTGCGACTTTGATCGCCAAGCGACCCCTCCGACTTATTTTAACGCTTCGGAGAAAGCTTAAGCTTTGTTTTAATTACAACAAAGTTTCAATAGTTTAGCTGCAATGCATTACTAAAAGAACAAAAATAATCTATTCTATCGAATTATCCGACTATATATACTTAGTATATATCGAATTAAAAACCATAAATCAATAATAACATAAATTACCATTTTTCTTTTAATTTTTCTCGGTTGTTGTGATAAAATATTGTATTTTATTTTATTTTTGGGTTGAATTTTACATTCTTATGAGTTAATATTTTAAAACTGCCAAAAGCAACATCGAAATTATTAGTTTCTTGCTCTCGAAATATTTCAGAATAGCTTCTCAAGTGCCAAAATAATTCAACTCGTAAAAATTAACAAGAAATGGTACATTGTAGTGAGCATATATTTTAAAATTGGCAAAAGCAACAACAAATTTGACCCTCAAATGGGGAAACAATGCAACCTAAGAATGAACAATATTGAATTTTATTAAAATCTTGCTGCCGAATTGGGGAAATAATTCAACCCACTCCTCCAAAATGTTGCTAGAAGGTTCTGGTCTGCGGGTCATAAAATGTTTATTGATCGCGAAATTAGTAAAAATGCAGTCAGAAAAAACGACTTGACCTGTGATAAGATGGAATACAAGTTCTGCCACTCTATATTGGCTATTCAGTGATATTTTCTGAGATCCGCCTTTGCCCCACCTTAAATTAATATGCAAATTGATTTGCTTGAAGATGCTCCGACAGCATTGGCACTTGGTGGCCATAAGTTTCGTCATTTTATAGAACAGGCAGCTGCTGGCTGGCTGTCTGGCTGGCTGGCTACTCTGATCCCCCTAGCTGTGCAAACTTATAAGTAGAATTGCAACTTAGTAGGCAAAGCACACTTATTGCTGCAAGGCGAGTTGCAATCAATATGTTTGTTGTAGTAAACAATTTCAGATTATTGCTTTGTATTGTCGTTGCTGTTGTTGTGGGTGTTTTTGTTGAAAATTTGCTGATTGAAAGACTAGAGGCGATCACACACATGTGTTTTTCCAAGCTTTTTGTGTAAACCCAAACAATGGGCAGCTGTTTCTCGAAGTGGCCCACACGTAAATGGAAAAGAAAAGAAATTAGGAAATTATTAAATATGTAAGAGTATGTGGCACCTCAGTATGCAGTATGTAGTGTATTACTCACCTTAATCGATGATTTATTGTTTCCAGTGCGTTCATGAGTGCGAAGGGCAGCTGTGCAATAGCAACAAGGTTGACAAAGTCAACAAAAACTGCAAACCATAAAAGTAATTAAGGACAGTTTTAAACATTCATAAGCCTAATCAAACACTCCCCAATACGCAACTATATAAATGCATTAATAATTAAATCAAACCAACAAAAACAACACGAATCAATTAAAAAGAGGGAGAGAAAAGAATTATCATCGCTTTATAAACTGCAAGCAACCACCAACAACAAAAGCTGATGCCGTCGAAGCTGTGTTCATTATTGTTTCGTTATAAATATTTGCACAATAAAAACCAAATTGAATTAACATTTTAATGCGTTAGCAAAACGATAAAATCAATTACACAATAACTATAACAACTGCAACTGCAACTACAACAACAACAATAACAAGACTACTCTACGCCAGAGGCAAAAACTGCATTTAAATAAAGATGCAATAAAATATTTACAAATTCCAAATAGCAACAACTGCTAAATCGGCTTTAATTTGTGCAATTCAACAATAATTAAATACCATTGTATATAAACTAAGCAACATTTAACATAAATATACACATATAAATAAACGAACCCCTTTTAAGGCGCCAATTTTTTAAAACACTTTTTCCATTACGATAACTTTTTATGCAATAATTGAAAAAAATAGAAATTAATTAAAAAGTTATTCACTTAATACACATAGAGCTGAATGTTTTAACAATTCTGAATGCTTTAAGCGATCAATTTATTTGCAATAAAACCGAACAAAATTTAAATTTTCAAATAAATCAAAGCCTTATAAACAAATTACGATTCAACACAACTAATTGCTGACACGGATTACATAAAGACTTTGCGTTTTTCTTCTGCTCGTCGTAAGTATTCAAAAAATATGCAAAAATAATTCAATTTTTTAAAACAGCCGCCCTACATTTCAAAAACAACCAGCCCTTGCGTTTGCTACTCTCGTCGGGGTAAGAAAAGGTACAAAGCTACGAATCTGAATTTAAATGAATTGTTTTGGGATTTTAAAGAAAAACAGTTCAATAAGTATTAATATTTCCAAAAACCTATAGCTTGGACAGGGTTACTACCATTGGCAGTCCTAGATAAACCCAAGACGGTCCTTAGTGTGGCCTGGTATTGGAGATCAGTTAACGAGAGTGGGGTAGTGGCAGAGCAGGAGCTCCAATGTTTGCCTTTCTGGCATCTGAAGCTTCTAAGCTGGGTCTGTTATTAGTTTACATTCCTCTCCCTAGAGTTTCAGGAGAAATTGCATAATTTATAATGGGCCATACCATTACTTCTTACAGTAAGCAGTTGTTGGGGAGCGCTGTTACTGGGATGAGTATGGGAATCTACCGCCCCCTGCTTGGCAAGGCCTTCTTCGAACAGATGATGGAGCCCTTCAAGGGTTTGGCTTTCCACGAAAATGTTGATGCGCTCTTCTACGATCCCTAACCTGGTAGTAGTTAAGCAACTTGTACAATTGCTTGAGCTCAGGATCCAGAAGAAATAAGTATTAATGATCGTTTAGGCAATAAGTATTTATATTCCCCGAAACGGTATGAAAAATATATCAAGCGTTGAGCAGAAATTGGAAATGTTATCTCTGTTCGAATACAAAACATATACAACATACTCGTACATAACGCAATGGCACTCGAAAATCCAAATCTGATAAATATAGTACTGACTGTGGAACAGATGTATGTATGTGTGTGTGTGTGTGGGGGGGGGGGGGGGGGGGGAAGGCCGGGTCGTTGGCGTTGGCAGCGCAGCGCAATTCAGTGAGCTTTCGTGTAAACTTTTATCTCTGCTTAGATTTTTACACTCACAGGCAGGCACACACACCCACAGATGTATTGTTTTTGCTGATGATAACAACAAAGAACATGCAATTTCGTAATTATTAATTTTACGGTCTGTTTGAGCCGACTTTTCCCTTTTCCCTCCCGCAGCACCAACGCCAAAGTGCGATGAAAAAAGAGAGAAAGAGAGAGAGGGAGAGAGGGAGGGAAAAGAAAGACATATGGGAATTGGGCAAACAGCGGGCCAAACTTAAACTAACTAACTTTGTTGACTCTGTGCCATTAAAGAGCAGATGGCATACCATACTCGTATGCTTAAAACATTTCCGGTGCAAGCTATACTTACACGCATCTATGGGAATTATTATGTATTTGGACAACACTTTACGGCCAGCCACTGCGGTTATTGTTGCTCTTGCTGTTGTTGTTGGTATTGTGTTCGTCTACGTGATTTTTTCGGCGAGTGTCTGAGGTCAGTGAACCCCCAAGCCCAGAGCTGCAAGCCCCAAGCTTCGAGCTCCAAGCCCCCAGCAAGTTGCGTGTGGCGGCGTGTTTGTTTAGGTCCGAAATCAAAAATCAGACAAAAAGCCAGAAAGAGTGAGACACTCGGTTAACAAAAACGCCGAGCAAGAGGAGGGGCCAGCTAGTGGCAGCGGCAGATTGTGCGGTTATTGACTTCTGTCACTTCAAATCGCGATATTTTGTTACTTTTGTGTTTTTTTTTTAAATCCGAATATCTGTGCCGCTCTCGATTGAGGTGTGTGGAAGCGTCTGTGTGTTTATGAGTGTGTGTGTGTGTGTGTGTGTGCGCTTTTCACAGCTGTTTGTCTTTAAGTTGCTTATGTTTTGCTTAATTCCATGCCCCCCTTTCGCGTTCTTATTACCACATTAACATAATCAAATTTATTTTTTACAGCCGCTGCCTAACTTGGCCAGATTTGTTTTCTTTTTCTTGACAAAACAAAAACAAAGACGAAAAGCACCTTTAAAACTGTTAGATACGAATGTCGGCCCTTTCGCATTCATCGTTTCTATTCATGCTTGCAAATTAAAAGGGAAGAACCGTATGCTATTAATCATCTCTTCTAAGAACTATTAGACCTGCGATTTGAAGAATAGATGGCGAGATGGGGTCTAGAAAAAAATTGACTCGCAATATAAATTAATTCTAGTTGTGAGATTAAAAAGTTTTAAAGTAGTTTTATTAATATTTTATATCTTTCCTTAACAATTTTCAACTTTGTCTGCTATGCATTATTTCCATTCGTCATCTCGTCTAGGAAATATCGTAAAATAGCGATAATGAAAAGTGATTTTCAAAGAGAAAATTATCTTCATAGACAATTGCCTCATTCTTTTCATCTATTTGAATATGAATCAGAAAACTTGTTTTGCAAAAAATACTTCTATTACTGGTCCTAACTGGTCAAGTTTTCTTTCCAAAAACCAGCTCTCTCTCTCTAGTCGCTTAGCCTTTGCTTCTGGTCTCAGTTTGGCAATTTATTTTCCGAAATTCTAAGCATTAGAAATTAAATATATCTTTAAGATTGTCACTCGAGGTTCCGTGAGATGTGCGAGCCAGCCAGTGGTGTTAATGCGTGCGAGTGTTGCAGCTGCTGCCCTCAGATACCTACGCCTGCCCCGCCCACCGGTGGCTGCACATCTCAGCCCCCCTGCGACGACTTTAAATGGATGCAGGCCAATGCGCCGTACCCACCTTGCAAGCAGCCTTGCCCGTGTTGGGCCACCAAGCTGCGTCGCTGGTACAGACGCAACAGCAGCGTTATTAGGCAGATAGCAAAGATTCTGGAGAAGGAACCGGACGATGTGGCCGCCTTTCTGTACGGCCTGACAATGCGCGACTTCAGTAAGATGATCAATCCGATGGGCTCGGGATGGAACTGGTGTCGTGTACCTTACTGTACGGTTGACACCTGTGATCGTTACTGGGAAATTTTTGACGATAACGGAAATCTGCGCTATCCCCATGATCCGCGCCGCTTATTTGCTTTGTTAGACTTTATACAAAACTCTATGTGCCCACCAGTCGGATCGGGTACAGATACGCTTTTAAAAGGTGCCCAAAGCTATGCCACTTTGGATGGCAGTTTGGCTGAAATGATGAACAGTATAGTGCCTGGCTTTGGAACAGTCCCGACTATAGGTTCAGCCATGGGGACGAGTTTAGGCAGTACCCCGTTCGGCGGAGGCCTTAATAAGGCGGCCTTGGAGCCAGCAGAATCAACCGTGCAGATTTTGAGAGCCATAGACAATGCATACCCAATAGCGGAACCCCAAACATATCATGAGAGTAGTGAGGATCTAAATGAAGCGAGACCAGCGCCGCATGTAGCCTATAAAAGCTTACAACAACCCGTCAGATCGAGCACAGATATTACTGCGTATAATAGGAGGCGTGGAGCAAAGGTCAGCTCTCACAATCAATTGCGTACCTTGCACTCGCCGCGTGCAGAAGAGATGAGGCGGCTGCTCAAGCGTCTGAAAACCAAGCGAGGTCTGATCGAAAACGATGAAGCTGTGGTGGAATCGTTCAAAGAAGTGGATTTGGCGAACGCGTATCTGAAAGTGCGCAAGCGAAAGACGAAGGCAACTTATGACGATATATCTACGCTTTATTCTGCCGTGGTGGGGAAAGAGCCGGCCAAACGGCACCACAATCTAGGGCTGCTCAACAAGGGTGTATCTAGAGTGAATTTGGGACGGACGTTCCCAACAAAGCCAGTGGTTCGGGGGAAACTAAGTTTGTACAATTTTGGAGACAGTTGGCAAAAAAAGGCTACGGCTGAGAAACCCAAGTCGTCTAAAGGTCGCAAATATTTGGGCGATCCCATGCCAGTGTTGTTGCACGAGCCCTACGATCAGGATAAACCTTGGACCTGGATACGCAGGCATCCCAATCAAGTGCGCGTGCAGGCTGATGGACAACTGGGTCACGGTAACATTCATCGCTATAGGCGTTACTCGGTTGCACGCGAACTGGAGCGCGCGCGACGCCGCTGGTCCGTGCATACAACCTATTCCACGCACAGTGAAATGGACGGTGAAAATCCTGAACGGCTATCGACGGCCATGTTTGGGACTGCGGATACCAAAGATTCGAAAAAGAGAAAGAGGTAGAGTGTGAACAACAGTAACCCTTGACTAGGCCCGATACGCTCGGGCCCAAAATAAATTTCGGAAAAACTTTGTCCAAATTATTTTCCTAATTCTATCGGGATTTTAAATGACCTAAAATGTGTTTTCCCATGCTGCCCCGTTGCTGTCTGGCGACGCTGCCACGATGTCCGACCATGTGCGCGCATCCATTGGTTCCTCAGGCGATCCGAGCGTGTTGCGGTGCCCGCGCACGCCTGCAACCAATGGAGCCGGCACTGCGACGCAAGCAGCCCTGTCCCTGTTGGGACTCGATGAAACGGCGCTGGTTCAATCGGAATCGTGGCGTCATCCAACAGCTGGCCAAGGCTCTGAACAAACCTGACGACGATGCTTTCGAATTTCTGTGGCAGCTCACGTTGTCCAACTTCAGCAAAGTATTGAATCCGAAAGGTGCTGGCTGGAATTGGTGTCGCGTTCCATTGACGCGCGTAGACACCTGCGATCTGTACGGCACCATTTTCGATCTCAACGGCAATCTGCGAAGCCCGATAGAACCGGCCAGTCTTTTCAAGCTGCTAGAACTGATGAACTACTTTCTAAACCCAGCTAAAGATCGAGGTGCCAAAGATGCCGGCATATTTGGAAGAAAAAGACGCAAGGGCAGTAAGAAAGGCAAATTGAATGGCAATTCCAGTAGCGATCGCTTTAGCGGCTCTTTTGCGGCTGGGTTCAGCAACACCCCAGGAGGTCAAGCATTTGGCATGGGTGGAGGCCTTTTTGGCCCGGGTGGACCATTTAGAGGTGGTGCCTTCGGCGCTGGTCCTGGTTTTGGCTGGGGCGGTCTCTTTGGTGGTACATACGGAGCCGGCTATGGATGGGCACCAGGGGGTTTTGGACATAGCGGTCGGCACGGTCATGGCCATGGTCGTGGGGATCATGGATATGGACGTGACGATCGCTATGGCAAAAGAATGGGAGATCCTGGTGGCCGCCCCTGGTGGTCGCAAAACGTTCCCGATGGCAAAGGAAATGGTTCCAAAAACAACAGCAATCGTGGCTCGGCAATTGGCGAAATCTCCGATCTATACAACAATGTGATGGACAATAAACACAAACGCGAAATTTTAACCAGCAACCAGCCGCCAAATGAAGATCAGCATAAGCCACGTCGATTCTTGGGCCAATCCTTGCCTGTGGCCGTGCATGAACCATTCAACAAAGCGAGGCCCTGGACCTGGGTACGACGTGATCCCAGGCAGACGCGACTGCTCGTTGATGGCACGCTTGGTCGCAACAAGGTTAAGCGCTACCGACGTGAATCCGTCCAGCAGGCCTATGAGGAAGCCAAAAAACGATACTCTGTTCGTAGCAACTACAGTGTAGGTTCAAAATCTGTGAAGTCAGCACCCATGTTTGGGAAGGAAATAAAGAAGGGGAACACCGCTAAGAGAATGGACTACAAGCGTATGCAGAAAATGCATAGCAGAAGCCAATCATCCTTAGCCTCCTTAAGCCAAAGTCAGCGCAGTACTCACTCAGTTGCAAAAAAGCAGCGTAGGCCCCATCGTGTAAAAAAGTGAGTGAAGTTTGAATAAAAATTGAAATTGTTGCGGTCGCGATGCCACTTTTTCAAACTCTCGCTGTGGCCAGGACATTGACTTGCCTGTAGCAGACAATGGTCAACGAGCACATACAGAAACACACACTTAAACACACTCACACACACAAACCAAACACGTTTGGGGCAGGTAATGCCATTTTTTTGCCAGCTCCCCCCAGGCGACCTAACAAACACACAAAAACAAGCGCCAGCACTAAATGCCACAGCATGCCCCCATCCGCCGCAATACGATGGCAATGGCGGTGTCGACGTTGGCGTCGGAGTCGGAGTCGGCGTCCCATGTGCGGCAACCACATTGCAAAATAGACATAGTTGCGCATTGCCACACGAGTGCGGTGCTCTCGTTCCCAATCCCACCCATCGACGCCACTCATTTAGGCTTAGGCTGTTACGGGATTTGTTCTGAAAGCTTTCGCGTTCTACATTCGCCGTATTTTCATGTCGGCCACATATTCCACATAGCGCTCACGCATCCACTTTATTTCGGCTTGGCACCCGTTCCCGCCCGTAGCACCCCGATTCCCCGCAGTACGAGTAGGACGCATGGATTGTGCAGATTTAAATTTTTGTGACATTTACTAAAAATTTATTTGAATACTTTTACTTTGCACTAAAAACTAAACATTTAGCTCACTGTGGGGACCCATGCTGGCACATTCGAGGGTTCATGACACCCCCAAAGCCGAAGGGCAAACTATTTGTCACCAACAGAAGTGGTTTGCTAACAAGTGCCACTTACCTTTGCTGCTTTTGAAGGCTTGTTTGCCAACAGATCGAACTGTTTGTATACAAATAAATAATGTATAAACGCATCCGGGTATTTATTGCCAGCACATGCCTTGGAATGCGTTTATAAGGCGAACTATTTAATGCTCACATATAGAAAACAAGAAAGGAATGCTAGAGTCAAGCGGGCTCAACTCTTCAATACCCTGTACACACTTCCAAAAATTAGAAAAAAATATACGCACACATCATTACTAACTGGATGTGACCACCAAATTTAAAAAATAGAGTTGGAGTGGTGGGGTTTATCGGAAAAAATCAACAAACTTGCCCTTTCTCGGGCTTAGCAGAATCTACATACCAAGTTTGGCTATTCTAGCTCTTATACTTTCTGAGATCCTTGCGTTCATACAGACAGACAGGCATACGGACAAGAATATGTCAATATGTCAAGAATATGTACATATATTTTGTGGAGTCTGCCACGCCTCCTTCTGTGTGTTACATGTGCACTCTCGTACGAAACTAATAAACCCTTTGGGTACAGGGTATAAAAATGTATAAAACAGTGTTGTGAAACGTTTCTATGTTTCTGAAGCATAAACTAAAATCTATTCCTGATTAATATTATTTATTTATGTGTAAGTATATTTATTATTTCCTAGTGCGACAAGAACAATTCTTATAAATTAATGCACTAGGCACAAAACGAAAATTTTATTTTACAAAATTTAAAATGGTTTGATTAACCTATTAAACTTATTGTATAAAATTTAGAGTGCAATTTAATGAATTTTATATTGTTAGTTGCATATTCTTTAAGAGCAAATTTAATGATTAATTAATTATTATATATTAATTTCGAATATGGACTATGAATTGCAAATGCTCTTCACTTTTTTGCAGGCACTTAGTCATAACACGATTGTTATTTCAATCAGTTTTATAGTCGAACTTTACCTGACCTAGAGATATATATACATCTATGGCTTATTAGCTACTAAGATGCTAGCTTTTGAATTCGTTTTCTGTTCCCCATTGTACGATATATTCGCCTTGTATTTGACCACTGACTAGACCTTGGCAGACACACTCTCCCTCCTTCGCTCTCCTTCTAGCCAGCATCCGAAACTATCTGGCAAGTTCTGGGCGAGACGGTTGTCGCCGCCAGTATGCTTATCAGCCTGATGGGCACTGATGATAATAATTCAGAGTCAAATATCGCGCGTCGTCCGGCAAGAACGGGCCATGATTTATGACATTTTATTTGAGACTTAAACAATACGATAATTATTTATTTGAGAGATGGCGGCAAGCGACGGGGCGCTCAAAATTTACAATGAACAATTGTATGTACATTGCAATATAAATAATAAGTTTTTTGTTGGCTGGCTAGCTGGCTGGCTGGCGAATCTTGCGACGCGGCTTTCATCTTCGCAAGGCCCCCCAAACCCCATAGAGTAGTAGAGTAGTGGTAGCGCGTGGTCATGCGGCAATTTATAATGTTGAGTGCCAGCCAGCTATCCAGCAATACAGTCATTCAGTCATTGAGTCATTTAGTCAGCCAGCCGGCAGTCAGAGATGCCCGAAAACCAGTTGGAAATGGCCTGCCATGAAATTTATTGCAATAAAGTGCTGAAAACTAAATCATCATCAGGGCCGGGTCTGAGACTCGCAGCCGGCAAAAAAATAAAAAATAAAATAAAAATGAAGCAGCCTCTGCCACCGCTACAGCAACAACAGTAGCAGCAACAATAACAACAACTACAATACCAACTACAATTGATACACTCTAGAAGCTCATCTAATATTTATGCGCATTTAGCATTTGTTGTTCTAGTTGTTGTTGTTGTTGTTGCTATTGGGAGGCTGATTTGTGTGCGTAAGTATGCGCAAAATAAATATATTTGTGTGTTTATTCTGTATGGCAACACTTCCCCAAAAGGACAGTCACACACACACACACACACACACATAAATATAAATTATGCACATATATGAAAATTATTTAACGCCCTTTTAGGTTTAAACGATACGAGAGCTCGATGGCTGGCCAACATTTTGGCTGGCTGGCTGGCTTGCTGGCTGGCTGCTTGACTGGTAGGTGGGTCTGTCGACATGAAACTTGCTGTGAGCCAAAACCAAATACCAAAGAAACATGCGAGCGTATAAAATAAAAGTAAATTAGTTGTCAGGGTTGTCCAATGCAGACCCAGACCATCACAGCTCAGCGAAGAGGCAAACTCATGACGATATTTACTTTTTTATACACTGCGCCCGAAAGGTATATTCTGTTTCAGAAGTAAAATAATCAAATCATAAAGAGTTTTTAATCCGTGTCCGTCTGTATGAACGCCTGAATTGCGAAAACCGTACTCCCCTTAGGCATCAATTTTGTACATAGAACTACCCCAACATAGGGTGCATTGTAAAGTATGAAAGTATGTAACAGACAACAGGAAGTATCTGCAAGCCAATAATTTTTTTTGATGAGCATAAAGATAAGAGTAATGTGCGTCCCTCCAATATGCCAACTGCCCATTTTTTAAAAGTGCCTGAGATACCCCGAACTATAGAAGTACATGAAAAGCACACCTCCAACTTTATAAAGAGTGTACAAGTACATTTAAAACTTCTGTTCAGCAACGATCTAGTTACCTCTGTCCATTCGCCTGTCTGCCTGTTCGTCTGACTGTATGATCGCCTGCATCTCAGAAACAATACTCGGTATGGATACTCTATTAAGGAACAAACCATTATTTTTGGATATCAGAATTACCACAACTTATAAACGGAAGTATTAGATCTATGCAAACAATAAAAATAGCGAAGAAAGCAGCGAGTCTATAAAGTATTTTGTTCGTCTTGTTAATCTTTCCGTTCGTCTGTATGAACGCCTGAATTTCAGAAACAGTACGAGCCACACAACTAGACTCGATATAAAGACTCTGCTAATCCACAGTCAACACTAGTTTATAATACTTTTTCGATATTGCTCTCCCCTCTCCCGCTACAGGGTAGTTCAAGGCCGATTATAACTTTTTGTTGATGCCTGTTCTTTTTCTAGCTTTATATCTTGTGGATTTTTTTTTAGATTTTTTGCTCGAGCCGTCGCCGATGCCGGACAAGCTGTGGCATAATATCTACGCATTTGCACAAGTGTGTTGTGTGTAGAAAGTGTGCGCGGTGGTGTCGTGAGAAGGGGGGAGGACGGCACACTTACACACTTCCTGCTCGAGGCGCGAGGCTGCGAGGTCTGCGAGTTAAACAATTCATGGCTAAGCTTTATGCTTTATACGCAAACTTTGAGTTTTGATTTTTGTTGTCACAACTTTCGGTTACTGGTCTCTTATCTATGTTACATACAGACACATCTACATCTATGTGTGTGTGTGTGTGTGGTGTGTGGCATGGAAATGCGGCATTGCGTGCCAAGATGCCTAAGCATTAAAGCTAGACACACGCACATACTGGCAAGCTATGATATTTTTTATGTTCATTTGTCTTGGACCGCAGCTTTGCCAAGAGTATGTGTGTGTGTTTCTGTGTGTGTGTGAGTGTGTGTGAGTGTGTGTAAGGCAAATCTACTTAAATCGATAAAAACTATCAAATCTGTGCGGGGCGTGTGCGAATACGAATCCAAATACTCTGAATATTCGGAATACCCTGTGCTCTGTGCTCTGTGTGCTGTCGACTACAGTCTGTCGTTTGTCGTTTCGTCACTTATACGACATGTGCGCCCAGCCGTTGCCATCCTTTCTGCCAGCTCCTTCTTTTCGGTTGCCATCGCTACTCATTTTTCGCCCATGTTGCGTATGTTGTCAAGTTTCTTCCGTTGCTGCCTGCCGCCATTTTTTCTTGGCAACAGCGACGAAAAAATATATATGCACACATATATAAGTATATATATATATATATATATGTATATGTATATGTTATATTTCTCTTATTGTTGTTGGCATGTCCGCGTCCGCTCTGGCAACGGACTTGGCCGTTCATTGTTTGCAACGCCCAGCCGCTGGCCCCAAGACTTGGTGCGTTAGGCAGCCGCCAGCTTCAGCTACAGCAGCATTTCCGCTCTTTTCCACTGTTGTCAAGTCGCAAACACACACACACACACAAACACACATATACATATATATACATATGTCTGTCTGTATGGGCCTATCGCGTGTGTGCGCATAGGCGCCGCCATTATAGCGCCCCAAACAAACGCTACAAAATGCTAGAGAAAACGCGCCGTTAGTTACATTTCTTTCTTTTTTCTTTTTT